GACAAACGTTTCTCAAATTGAACTTCATTCGCGGCAATCGTATCAATATTTTTATAGATGTTGTTTTTTCGAACTTTTTAGGAAACGAATTTTTGGGTGGTTTTTGTCTTTTTCTGGTAGCTAATATTACGAAGTTTTTTAATACGGCGTTTTTGTTTTTCTATATAACTAATTGTTTGTTTCGGAGACACCTGAAAAAGTTCGTTTTTTTTTCTGTCGACTTCATGGATTTTGCTCAATGGTATCAAATTCGAAGAAAAATACAATTATTGCTTTAGACCATAATAAATTTTAAACTGAAAATTACAAAATCGGTATTTCAAAATAAGGTAATTTAAAACCATCTAATTTTGTTTATATTTAATAAATATGTCAACGCATCTTTTTGAACTTCGAAAAACTTTCAGAAGTATGCAGAAATTGAAGTACAGTTTGGTTTATTCAGTTGAAAACCCTTGCCCAAAATAGTCACCGTTTTCAAAAACTCTTTAGTTTCAAAATATTTGAAGAATTTGATTAAAACTCTTTTACAATGGCCGTTTAAAAATCTACTGCGCAAAAATTTAAATCAAATTCGTTAAATATTTTGAAACTGTGAAAGGAGTTTTTGAAAACAGTGACTATTTTGGGCAAGGGTTTTCAACTGAATAAACCAACCTTTACTTCAATTGCTGCGTACTTCTGAAGGTTTTTTAAGTTCAAAAAGATGCGTTGACATATTTGTTAAATATAAACGAAATTAGATGATTTTAAATAAATTACCTTATTTTGAAATAGCGATTTTGTAATTTTCAGTTTAAAGTTGAAATAGGTCCATTGATGCACTAATTGTATTTTCATTTGAATTTGATACCATTTTGCCCTAAAAAGTATTTGATAATTAATATTGCTGCTGAAAAAAGTTCTGATGTCATTTTGTTTATTTTGGTCTTCGGGCTTTTTCGTTGAAAATAAAATTTCCAAATGGATGTTTACTGTTATAGAACGGAACATTTTTCAATTTTTGTTTTTATCAGAATATCGAATTAACCTGAAAATTGTCATTCACAAAAGTAAATTTCGTTCTGAAAAAGTTGAGTTGTTATATATTATTTGACCCTGATTAATTCCTCAACTATTACTTCTACTTTCGCAGCAACTGGCTCGTTCTTGCTGTTTCAAAAGGATATCGAAGTTACCGATAATCATTTCTGTTTCTATATCAGAGAAACATTGAAATTCCCTATTTTTCACACATTTTTTTCATTTATTTTTCGTTAAGAGAAATAGACTATGCGTGGACAGGCTGCAAAGCCTTTCATAGATCCTCTGAGAATCGGAGAATCGACAATTATTATTACTAATGTCAGTCCGTTCTTAGTTCTCGATTAAAAGTTAGGAGTTTTTGTTTGTAGTTATTGAGCGTTGCATTTTTCTATAGATTTGAAATTGTTTTGATATTTTTGCTCTGTAACAATTAGCATTGCCTTTATTGATGTTTTTTCTTAATTAATTTTTCATCTCTTATTTGTCGGGTAACTCTACTGAGAAATGGTTACTGGCTTATTCTTCAGCTTTTTTCAGAAGTCACACGTTTAGGTTGTGTGGTTGAAGTCAATCAAAGTTTGATCACGCTCAAATTAAATTTTTCCAGGTTTGACTTCGCTTTCTTTTGAGCTCAATCCAATGCGTGTGGTAAAACGAAGGCAAATAACGCTCCCCAATTAAGATAGTGCAAATTGTTCGGAGAGACGTCAATAACTTATAGTTTTGATAGATTTTTTCTTTCAAAATTTGCATGCCAAGTAAAAAGTATACCTTTTAGTTTAGTTTCGCTTATAGGGTTAATTTTCTGCTGCGGAAGATCTTTGAAATTTAACTGGCTCAATCGTGATGTATTTCTTCAAGTTGCAAAAAAGTGATAGTTTTCAATTTTTCTGATGGCTATGTTATAGTTTGTCATAGCCAGGCCATCGTTAACATCTAATGAAAACTGCAATTCTACCATGATTGCGCCATAGATTCAAGCGACGAACGATTGCGGCTTTCTTGGCCCCAGCTCACGCAATGAGAAAACGGAAGATGGATTTGAAGAAACAAAAGGAAAACGAGTTAGCATTGTGTCGAGATCGCCGAGAAGTGATCAATTCGGAAGTGTTGAAATCTTTAATTCCTGGTCTCTCCATTGACACAGCGCCAATTGACTATCAATTGAAAGGTTGTAAACCCACCTTTGGATTGTGGAAATATGTTTTTTGTCTACTGTTTTTTTGTTTCTTCGCTGAGCTTTATTCGCCGCTGAATTTTGAAGTAACTGCCTTCCTTTTTTTAACCGATGGAACCGCGACGCGGATCGAATTTTGTAGATACATTGTTTGCAGTTTTTAAACTCATATGTTCGAAAGAATTCAATCTTTCTACAGTTCTTAAAGCATAAATGAAACACGAAGTGACTCGTTTATGTTAATTGTTAGTTAGTGCTTTTTTTCTCGGTGTTGCTTTTGGTTGCTACCTTTTATCAATCGATACAAACAACAAAAATTCAGATTATTTTTGGTGTGTCGCTTTTTAGTTAGAATGAACGAGGCAGTATAAGTATTTAATGCATTCCCAGTGCCGCAGCACGAAGTGAGCGCGTATGATCAGTTGGCAGAAACATCCTAGGTAAATGCAACGCCAACGTCAACAATTTCTATCTATCTATCCCATTTAATATTTAATAGCGGGTTTTACTATTTTGCCACGCTTAAGCTTTTTCAACATTATTTTTGCATGTTTAATAACGAAAGAGTTTTTTTTCACATTTTAACTATATCGTATATAGAAATGTCTAAGATTTTTCTTTTTCAATTTTCCAGTTTGAATTCAGTGTTTAAAATTAGCAGCCCAATAATGGAATAGTGTCAGGATTTCCCCAGGAGTTGCGAATTTGGCCCCAAATCCTTTTAACTTACAAGATACAACAATATTTGTGACTTTCAAGTGTTCAGAACACTCAAACTAAAAAATAAAATTACAAAAGTTGTTATTCTCAACCCTGTTGTCGGTGCTGTCTGCAGGGTACTCTCAGGGATTGCGAGTCCTGCCTCCAAGTATGACTGCTCACATCTTTGTAGTTTTCCAGATATGACGTTTTTTGTGATTTTTTTCCTAAGTTTAACAGAAAACTTAATTTTTAGTTTTAAAATTTGAAATTCTCAACCCTGTAGCTTGGTGCTGTCAGTGATTGCGAATCTTGCCTCAAAATATGACTGCTCAAATATTTGTAGTTTTCGAGATTTGACGTTTTTAGTGTTTTTATTAGAAAATTTTCGGAATACTTAGTTTTAAAAGGTTTCACATAATATGAAATTCTCAACCAAGTCGTTGGGTACTGTGAGAGTAACCTCAGGGGTTGCAAGTCTTGTGTCTAAATGCGACTGCGCAATTGCTTTTAGTTTCCGAGATTTGACATCTGTTGTACTTCTTTAAAAGTTTTCAAAGAACTTACCTACAAAAATTTCACGAAGTTTGAAATTCCCTACTTTATAGTGATCCAACTTTATTGTCAGGGTACTGTCAGGTGTTGCTATTCTTGCCTCTAAATTTGAATTCCCAGATCCTGTTTGTTTCCGAGATGTGACTTTTTTATTAATGATTTTTTTTTTCGGGAAACATCGGTTTAAAAAAATTCACGAAATTTGAAATTCCCAACCCGTTAGTGGGGTACTCTCATGTAACTCTCAGTCGTTACAAATCTGGCATCTAAATTTCTCCAAAGACACTAAGTTTTCGAGATATGACGTTTTTATGGTTTTTTAAAATTTGAAAAATTTCATACATTTTAAATTTCGAAATAAGCAAACCCTGGAATTGGGAGCGGTCAGAGTACACTCATAGGCTGAAGATCTTGTTTCCAAAATATTTGGTTTTCCATGAATTACACGCTAGTGTATTCCTAAAACAGATACGTAATTTCGAGGAAAAAAAAATCCATTTTGAATCGAGTTTCGAAGATGCAGGGCTGGCACTGCATCGAGTTCAGAAAAATATTCAAACTGCCGTCCCCGAAAAACATTCAATCAGTGCCTGAAGAAATCGCAAGTTTTTAGTTTCAGGGCATGGTTTTTAGTTTCAAATTTCCCAGCGAAAATTTTGTTGATTTTCTCGCCTATTGATCGATTTTCCTCCAGTTGCCTGGGCTTATCGTAGTTTTTTAAATCATAAAAAAAGTATCTCCGAAAACAAAGAGCGCTTTCAGATGATTTGTTATTTAGGAATAGTGAACTGAAATAAAACGGAACAAATCTGACTTGTTTTCCATCATTTCATTATTACTATTCCAACTGTTTGTTAGCAATGCTTTTCAATGTCAATGAACAAAGTCAAGAGATTTTTTTCGGTCTTGAGGCACGTTCCGTTGAGCTCCTCTGTTGGCTATGTTTTATTGATGCATTTACACGTGGATTTTCTATTCTTAAGCATTTTTCTATAAATGGAAGTGATTTTGATTTATTCCTGTTATGATGCAGGTAATTGAGTTCGAATCCCTCTTGGTTCCGGTCGCAGGGTTACCATTGTCATTCGCTACCTCTAGGCGGGAAAAGCTACGGCAAAATGGATGAAAAATACCACCTCCATTTTGACAATGGAGTGGATAGGGCTGAGGGATAACAATTTTTAAAGAATAATTGATTAATTTGTAAATTTTTTTCTTAGTTTCAAGAAAGCAGTGAATGAAGCGTGAAGTCTTGAAGCCTCTAAATTTTTTTATTTTATCTGATTTCAAAATTTTTAGAAATAAGTCAGGTTTGTTCTCTGCTTCATAAATGATTCATTTCCGTGAAATTAATTTGTCAACTGAGTTTTTATGAATTAAAATTGTGTTAGAAAATGGATGGAGGTTACTTCTGAAAGATTTTTGAATAAAAAAAACGTTCAGTTTATTTTTTTAATATTATTTCACATATAAAATATTGTATCGCTAGTGGTACGAAAATCCGTTCAGCTTTTGTATTAATGGTTGTAACTATTGTTCGTAGGCTTCTTCACCTTTTTCCTGATGCTGCTGATTCCGAGTATTGTTACTTTAATGTACACCGTGCCCAATCACTGGTACGCCGACTGTTTGCTCTACAAAGGAGAGCCTCAGAAAAATGTTCTCGTGTTCAAAAAGCCGCCCAACGAGATCAATGAGAACCCGTAAAGTCTTTTGTTTTCTCTTATTTTCTAAGAACTTTCATTAGTAAAGATCAGTGTTTTTTTATTTTTCTAAGAACTTTTGAGAGTATAAATCACTTTTTTCTCTAGTTTTCTAAGAACTTTTGAGAGTAAAAATACGTTTTTTTTCTAGTTTTCCAAGATTTTTTGAGAGTAAAAATCACTTTTTTTCGCTAATTTTCAAAGATCTTTAGAGAGTAAAAATCACTTTTTTCGCTAATTTTCAAAGAACTTTGGAGAATAAAAATCACTTTTTTCTCTAATTTTCTAAGAACTTTAGAGAGTAAAAATCACTTTTTTCTCTAATTTTCTAAGAACTTTGGAGAATAAAAATCACTTTTTTCTCTAGTTTTATAAGAACTTTTGAGAGAAAAAATCACTTTTTTTCTCTAATTTTCAGAGAACTTTTAAGAGTAGATAGTTTGGGCTGGGTTTGTTATGATGGGTTGGTTTAGAGAGGGCATATCGGATTCGAAGATCCACAAGATAGCAGACAGACAAGGAAGTTGCCTAGGAACGTCCGATATGTTCTGTTCGACTCTAAGTGAGAAGAGCAACAGCTATGACGACAGTGTCCAGTATACTCTTGCATGTTACTGTACAGAGAGGGTGGACCTGGTTGACCTTTGGGATCCCGGACTGGTCCCACGTGACCCAATTCAAGAGTATTTCAAGCTCAATGAGTCCAATGAGGAAGATGCGGCAATTGATGGTTAATAGATAAGACTTCGCTAGAAAAGATCAGATCGCATTTGGTTTCAGATCGCCTGATCAATAAAAGTATATAGATTGAGTTGATTTTTTGAAATTTCGCCAATTTAGTGGGTTTCGATTTTTCAGTTAATTTTTGTTGTTAACCGGAAGGCAAACTCTTCTATCGAACAGTAAAAGTGTAATGGCCACGCAAAACGTAAACTGCTTTCAGTTTCGGAAGTAGATTTAAATTTAAGGATTTACCACCTAAAAGTCTATAAATAACCGCTCGGTAAATGAAAGCTTATTTGATTTTTGATTATGAGTCGATGCACGTTGTTCAGACTCTTATATAGGTCGTGATTTTTTCTTAAGAGTAATGAACGTAGTGAAGACACTTATATAGGTCTTGCTGTCTTTTTTTCAGGAAAAAGTCTTAAAATATGGATGCACTTTTTGAGTTAAATTGAAATTCATCAGCTGAAAGTGACGTAAATAGCATTCTCCAAATACGAAAGTGGAAATGGCGCAAAAAACGTGAACGGTTTCTAGTTTCTTAAAAACTTCACTAATGAAAAAAATCACTTCTTCACTAATTTTCTGAGAATTTTTTTAAGAGTAGATAGTTCGATTGTAAAGCTATGATGGTTTAGAAATTTGGCTTTTCGCAGTTTGACGTCTGATTTTTTTGAATTTACTGCATAACGTTTGTTCAATGACAGCAAACTCCACTATCGAACTGCAAAAGTGAAAAACTCACGAAGAACTTGAAAAGTTTCTAGTTTCGAATGTGGATGTTTATTTAAGGATTCTCGGCGGAATAAAAGATAATCTATTGATCAAACTTTCTCAAACTGGGTTAGTTTAATGAAAAAAATTCTCAATCAGAAATTGTTTCAGTAATTCAAAGAACTTCAAGACCATCTATTTTCTTTGAAATTCAAGATTTTCGAAAAAATACCAGTTGCTATTTTTTCTTTCATTTACTTGCGTTCATTGGCTCTTTTCCAACTGTCTGTTGGCTATGTTCTGATATCATCTGTAAAATGATTGTGAAAAAAATATTTTAAGTGATCTGAATATCCGTCGCAACCCTTTTTTGCGTGATATGTTTATCAGTTGGTTTTTCAAACTCGGGTGGCTGAAAACAAATGATCCGATTCATAGAATATCAACAAGTGAACACAGAAATGTTGCAGTTGGAAAGCAAACAGAACCCAATTCTTTGTGCCATAGTTTTGATAATAATAATTATTGCTTCCATAGGCTGTTCCGTCGTGTCAGTATTGGCGGTTAAATGGAAGCCAGAATTAAGAATGAGTGGCACTTTTCATCTAGTTCTCAATATAGTATGTCTCCTTTTGACAGTGTTTAGCATGGCTGTTATCATAACATCTCTGCGAGTTATCAAAGGTTTCGGCTCTCAATGTAAATCGCTTACATTTGTCGTATATTTGGCAGTGATCGCAACTGTGCTTATCACAGCCTGCTGGTTTATTTCGTTGATGATGACGGGGCTTGCAACGGATTTACGCCGAGCACGATATTTGGAAAAGCGGTCAACTCTAATAGCTAAAAGATTTCGAGCTAGAGATAGGATGGCTTATTTTTCACGGCCAAGTCAGCAGCAAAGGTTTAAAGGAAGAAGCATAATTTTTTTTCAAATGATTTTACTTCTCTCAATTGCACGGCCAATATGTTTTTTTTTGGTTTCGATTACTCAAGCAGTGAGAAGTAAAGGTGAACTTTTTCCGCACGATTTTTAGTACTTCAAAAAACGTTCGTAGGAGTCAATTTTGGTACCATTTTTGGTCCTTTCAGTCAGCATTGAAAAGATCTCGCGTCGCGAAAATACGGTTAAAATTTTTTGCTAATCAGACGTAATTATCAGATTTTAAACATATTTAGTGCCAAAATAGGAGTTCTGCCGAGTACCCTCAGTGCACCCTTGTTCGCCGCTGATAAGCGTATTTCAGAATCAATCAGGTTCTCTTTGTTAATTCCCATTTCCGACCAGGTTTCTATCATCATCACGCTTAAGATTATTGCTTGTAACAAATTTATCGGACAACGTCTTAATATTTTGAAATAATTCTGACCTTGAGACAGTGATATGGCATTAAAACTGCAATCAAAAATTTCAAAACTGCATGTGAACGGACAAAAGATCAATGCAAAATGATTGCGCTTTTTCGTAGAATTTCATTTTTGCCCTATTTCAAGAGCACAATTGAAGAAAGTTTTTCATTAAACAACGATTTGCCATGTAATTTTTCAAAGCAAAAAAAAACACATTAAATGCCGACAAAAAGGCAAACGCGAAACTTCAAAGAGTTGTTTCGTTTTGGTTTAAATTTGAAGGTCAGAATTATTTCTGAAGTTTAATACGTTGTCCGATAAATTTGTTAAAAGATATAAATTTTAAATTTAACTCGCTCACAAGCGGTAAACACACTTGAACTGCGTACTACTCTCTTCACACTGATGCCTAAATCTGACTCGAAAACCCGAGTTTTTTTTTAGTTTTTTAGAGTCGATGAACGTAGTTCAGACTCTTATATAGGTCGTGATGAATTTTTTCGGTTTTTATTTCAGGAAATGTCTTTAAATTTGGCCAGGCTCAAATTTACATTTTCACCTTTTGTTTTTTATTTTCTTTTAAAGTGCAGTTCATTTTCTTTGTTAAAAGGAAGGCTAACTTCACTATCGAACAGCGAAAGTGTAAAGGTCACTCACGACAAACGTGATCAACCTCTAGTGAAATAAAAGTTACTTATTAATCCAGTTTCTCGAATTGGCTTGATCAAAAAAGTGTTAATCATAATTTGTTCAGGAAAATCAAAGAGCTTTAAGCGCATCTATTTTAGTTCCGAATATTAACGGAATATTTGTGCTCGGGATGGTTTTTTCTTCAGACAAATTTCGTCTTTACAACTAGCAATTTTTGACGGAATTTTAAAAAGTCATTCAAAAGATTTTGTTATCCTGAGCTTAAATTTGGAACGATTTTTCACCTGTGATCTTTTTGGTAAAGTTATGGCGGTTTAAAGATTGCCATTTTGGCCAATTTGGGACAATAACGCGCGATAAATTTCGCTGTAATAGCGTGTAAGCGGAGATTTAATCCGTCTTGAAATCGTTCCAAATTGGTTGAAACAAGCCTTTTTGCCATAATTGATTTGTTACAACGAGCGAAATCTATCTTTTTGTGCTTAATATGGCGTGTGGGGGGATGATTTTCATAAATTTCAAATTTAAGAAAAACAATTTTTCATTTTGTTTTTACGTTTAATTTTTTTTTGCATATTACTGCTACATAAATTTTAAAAGGCAGTCGGAACATTCAGTGCTTCGACTTGATACGAGCAGTCTTGTTTTCTTTGATTTTCGAAAGTTGAGATTTTTCAAAAAAAATGTCAGTCTATTTTTTCTGTTTACTTGCGTTCATTGAATCTTTTCCACCTGTCTGTTGGCTATGCTTTCAAATTATCCATGAAATCATTAAATTATAGGCAACATTTTAATGATCATATGCTTCTTGAGATACCCAAACTTCCAACCATCCTTCCGAGCCTCCGATGCAGATTTGAGCAGTGGCAACGATTCGTATACGCGGGCCACTAAACACTCGAGCCCAATAAGACCATTGTCTGGGCTAAACCAAAGACTTTCCGCCTCCCCTTCCCATCCTCCCTCGAGAAGTGTCAGTCCTTCCGTTTCCCCGCCCCCAAAGGGATCCCAGACCCCCTCTTCCCCGTTTAGCCCCCCGTATATACCGCGACACTCGCTGGCAACATCGGGAGGCACGAACATTATGGTAGATGGAGCGAGTATTGCCGAGGATAACAGAGGAAGCTTGACAGTTTATAATTACGAATCGTCAGTGTAGACGACAGAGTTGCATATCACTTTAGGCGCGACAGAATAAACGTATCTAGATTGCTAATCGAAGCTGCAAAAAGTTAAATAATAACTTAATTTTAAAGGGAAAGTTCATTAATTTGCATTATCAATTGGGCTTTGAATGTGGCTGTATAAGAGTTACTGACTTCAATGAGGACTGTTATTTTTTTTTTTTGTGAAATTTCATCTTTCAGCAAAAGGTTGTTGATTTTTTTAAAGTCAGCCGGTCTTAAATTAAAATGAGCTTTTCAAACTTTTTTCGAACAAAGCTGAAATTTTTCTATACATAAATAAATTGAATTGGAGAGAAACATTTATGACTCAAAGTTCGAATTTGTTTTCAGATTCTAATCAATTTTTTATAAATATTTAGCCAGCGTTATCAAATCGGAGTATCGACTTTCTTCAAGCTAACATCCTTTTTTACATCCTCTTTTTATAAGTTAGCAGCTCTTTTTACTCCACTCCACTATCAAAAATAGATTTTTTAGATTTCCCAGCGAAATAGAAAATATGAATCGGTCCAGTTTAATCAAAATGTGTTTAGTTAATCAAGAAAAAGTCAATCGTAAATTGCAAGAGCTTTAAGGACAAATATTTTTTCTTTGAAAATTGAAAATGATGTTTTTTTTTCAAAAAGCAAGTCAGTATTTTCAAGTCAAATGTCAATGAAAATAGTGAAGACACTTATTTTTTTTTCTCGCGATATTTAATCCTTTGGTTTTTTTCAAGTTCAGTTCAAATTCATTTGCTGAAAGGAGGGCAAAGGGCACTCTTCGACTACGAAAGCCAAAGTGTCACGCAAAAATCATGATCAGCGCCTAGTTTCAACTATGGGTTTTTAATTTAAGGTCTCCCAGTAAAAAAACTGACAACGAAAATTGAAACTTTATTAAAAAGAAAAGTCTTTTTTAACTGCTCTTTGACTTTGACTATGTTGGTTAGTCGTCAAACAAATCTGAATCGTCTATTTCCTTTTTTTGTTTTTTTTAAAGCATCTGGTTTTAGTTGATGGTACATCTGTTTAGGTGCGTCTTAGTTCTTATGATATTTATTCATTTCTGATTGGGGAGCGTAAAACTTCCAAGCTTCGAAATTTTTCTAGCTCCAATTTTTTCGGGGCTTAGCGGTCGTCCATTTAAGTGCTGCCTAAGTTTTTTTTCAGCATTTTTCCTCCTTAATATTACTAATTAAAAATAAATATTCATAGAAGGATTGAGGCAATAAATAAAAATTTGCTTGGATATATATCATTTGACTCGTAGTTAAAAATTTGATTTAGTCAGTTTATTCGGCGCACTCAGAATTCTGAGGTAACTTCAATGTTGTGCCTGTCAATTGATTGGAAGATTAAATCCTGGTTTCTGGGTCGAACAGAAATATTCTTTGCTGACTAATTGTTATTTTATTGTCGGTCTACTTTTGTCCCAATTGTATAGCGCATACCATGTATTCATTGGCGCTTGATATTGTTTTAAGTTAATACTCTTGGAGGAAGATTTGTCTCTGCAGAACTCGTAATAAAGTGTCAATGAACGAAGTGAAGATCCTTATTCAAGTCGTGTGGGTTTTTTTTGTTAAAATATTTTTTAAAATGTACATACTGAAATATACATGAAAAAATATAAATATTAAGCTAGTTTTCTCAAATTAGATTAGTTTTTATTGAAGCGTATCGGTCATAAAAGATTCTTGCAACTCGAAAATTTAAAGATAGCTCTTGGATATTCGAAAGTTGAAAAACATAAAATTCAGTCGGTGTTTTCGGTTTTCTAGTTCATTGACTCTTTCAACTGTCTGTTGGCTATGTTTTAAAGGTTTGACTCAACTAATCACAACTTCAACCAATGAACGAAGAAATTCGCTCTTTCTTGTGAGTGACCATTACTTGACAAATCGGCTGATGATTTGGACTTGGAGACAACTGGTTCCTGAAGTAGCTTATTCTGTGTTTAGAAGCAGTGATTCTGTTTGATTTTAGGTGGAGAATGAATCTCGTTTCACAGGTGCGATTCAGTTTACCCCCTATTGCAACCAACGGCAATATCATTTGAAACATATTGCCAGGACAAAAAACTTTGAGGAGAGGACTTCAAATTGAGCAATACTAGATTCAACAAATACAAACTTTTTTCAAGCTAGTTTCGAAGCGAAATTCAATCACCGGAGCAGACAACAACTGGTATATTCCGACAAAAAACTGTTTGACAAACTGGTTGCTTTTTTAATTGGAAGAAGCGAAAGTAACTTGGAGCTCAAAGTTTTGATATTTTACATTTTATGCAGAAGTAGTTTCAACTTGATAAATGTCTTGATGTTTTTCGGATAGAAAGTTCGATGTCACTCATTTTAACTGCAGACTTACTGATTTGATGAAGTATTCGTGCAATAATTTGATTTGTTCTCATATACAATTGACGTTCTCTGCCTAAACCATAATCTCACAAACCGACTGAAATAACTATTGCTTTGCTGTCTGTTCAAATGACTGTTTTTCAATTAAATCGATTCTCAATTTAATGTCCCTCTTTCTTTCTTCTTCGAACAATTAGAAAGAAGAATAAAGTATTTTATGATGAATCGATCGACGCTCGAGTAAGAGTCCTTATACTTAATCCGACCACTGAAAGCTGATAGCGGGTTGAAATAGCTCGTGCGCTTCAATCTTTAAGGTGAGCTCTTGTAAGTAAGTCATAGCTTAATGTGGGCGCTGGGCATATGCGCTCTTTGTCAACCTAAATAGTTAACCTTCGGGCTAGGCCTCCGTGAAACTAGGCCTCCGTGAAAAGGTAGAAACTTGGCTTTTGAGTGTGCGTAGACTTGCGAAGCAATGTGTATTAGTACGAACATTCTTTTTTTTCCAACCTAAGTCGCAAATATAAGTGCTACTTTTGGTGGCACTTTTGAATCGTTAGGTTACGGTAGCAGTATAATACCATTTAGCGCGGGAAGAAAACAAAACTTAACATAGAGGCGAAGCTGCGCTTCGCAAACACTTGTGAGAACACGACCAAAAAGCAGCTCTATCAAGTGAAATAAGAAAAAGTAGAAATAAGCCTCGAATTAGTAAAAACTCGGCTACGTGTCTGATTCGAATCTGCGACCTAGCAATTTTGAGTCTCACACACTAACCACTAAGCCACGGATGCTTAAAATCCCCAAAAACTAGCCACTAACAAGGTAGATACATATGCTAAAAAATTACCAATTCGATGCAGCAAAAGAAGCACCACATACAAAAAGTCACAAATTTACATGTAATAAATTGGAAAGCATGTGTCTTTTTGTATTTGGTGCTTCTTTTGCTGCATAGAATTGGTAATTTCTTAGCATATGTATCTGCTTTATTAATGGCTAGTTTTTGGGGATTTTAAGCATCCGTGGGTTAGTGCGTGAGAGTCGAATTTGCTAGGTCGCAGATTCGAATCAGACACGAGCCGAGTTTTTACTAATTCCAGGCTTATTTGTACTTTTCCTTATTTCACTTGATAGAGCTGCTTTTTGGTCGTATTCTCGCAAGTGTTTGCGAAGCGCAGCTTCGACTCTATTAAGTTTTGTTTTCTTCCCGCGCTAAATTAGGTATCACAAAAAATCATTTCAAGAGGTTGCGGACTGCTATATCATTTTAAAGCCCTTGAAGTCTTAATTAGAGTGACAACAAACTTCAGAAATTGCTCGAGCGAGTTAAGCTAGATAGTTACTTCTGTTAGATAAAAATGAATCAATTGAGCGTGAAAGTTTCATTGTTTGAAGCTCATTTCAGCGCTTCCTCGTCAATAAAAAGTTTTAAGAAACATAAAAAATAAGGTTTTTTCGTTTTTAGACAACTGTAGTCTATTATGATTAGTTTTTATCAAGTTCAAAGCTTTCGTCTTTTCCACAAAGAAGCAACGCTCAAAAGCATCACACACTTGGAAGAAAAAAAGGTTTTTGAGCTTTTTTTTATGAATGTTATCTTTAGTTTTTGAATATTGAATTTACTTTAGTGCTTGCACAGCAAACTGCTTTCCTTGTGTTCTTTGGGATATAGTTGATATTCGGGAAACTATTTTTTTTATATAAGCCAGCAAATCTTAGCAAATATCTGAATAATTGGAATCGGGTACAAGACTTTTGCCGATAACCAAGATTTGACTAAACTAGTCCAAGACTAACAAATTGGTGTCCGGAGACGGTATGTTTAGGAAATTTAAAATTTTCAGTCGTCTTTATTCTTTTGCCTCGATTTCTGTTGGCGTAGTCACCCTTTTTTAAAATTGCAATACCCTACGGCCTATTGAATTCAGCCATGTAAAGTGTTTCTTAAAGGGGGACTCATGTGTAGTCACTAAATATTTTGATGATAAATGTTAGATGGTTCCAATTAGGGAGAATGGCAAGGAGGTGCCTTCTGTGCTACTATATAGCTATATTTTTTGTGATTGCAGTTTCCGATTTTTTCAAAGTTCGGAATGTTTTAATGACATATTCTGAAAAATATTGGAAAAAGTAGATATCTCATCTGCTTTTTTAATTTTTCAATATTTCTTTCCCTAGTACTAATACTTGTTTTTAGAAGTCTATTAGTTCAATCATTGATATATTCTGCAATTATTAAAATAAATTTTTGTCCTAATTTAAAAGTTTATTCGTAATTATGATACAAAAAGTGTTCAAAAAAGTTCTCATTAGGCTTTCGACTAGCAGGAGTTATCAAATCCATAATAACATATTGATAAAGTTTTCTCAAAAAGTCGATTTTTTTGCAAGTCGAAGAATCTTAAAAGTAATATATAAATTATTTCAACTTCGAAAGTTTCAGTCTAATTTTCCTGTTTCCTTGCGTTCATTGACGATTGCCATGGGTCTTTTGGCTATTATTGGTTTAGAGGCCAATTTCAAAGAAAAAATAAATTTTTTATTTCTGTGCTTCCAGGGGAGTAAATTTTAAGAATATCTTTTTAGATCAAAGTTTTTGTGAGCTTCCAGGTGGAGTAATGGTTAAGAATATCTTTATAGCTCAAAGTTTTTATGACAATTTTTTATTAGGCTTATTGGGTGTTTATCCAATTTTTGTCGCTTAAGTTGCCGCTCGATAAATGTTACGTAATACTTATTAAACGCCGTCGGTTGTGCTGCTGAACGTGTTATCCTCAACTTGAAGTTTTTAAAATTAAACATTAGTTATGAAGTTTTTTCAACTTAGTGACCTGTGTTTCAGTTTCTCTGTTATCCTGCAATGTTAGTTTTTTACGGTGCGCAAGTGCTTCGAAGCTCTGCTTCCCCTCTGTGTGTGGTTTTTTCCCATTTTTTCTTCAGTTTGTTTCCCGTTTTCACTATTTTGAAATGATAAGGTGGTTATCACCCTTGGTATAAGCAAGGGTATTCAATCGGGTACTAGACTTTTTCCTGTAAGTAACTTTGTTCACCAAATGGTCAAATGGTAATCTGTACAATTTGTACCCGCTGTATGATTGGTGTATCGCTGCAAGATTAATTAATAGCTTGGTAACTATTTTGGCTGCTTAAGTGTCTTGCGTTCACGTTAAGAGCTGGAATTTAATTTTTGTCGGATTTGAAAAGTACATTTTCGGCAGTACTTGTGGCTTTAATTTTTGGTCTGCTTTAATTCTGTAGCCTTATTTTCCAAAGTTTTTTCTTTTGTTTTTTGTTAGTTTTTATGACGAAAAAGCTCCAATCAGACAGTTTCGAGAATCAACCTTTCAAGCTCTTTACAAAAATTGAAAAATTAAATATGAATGATCAAACTTTTTTGAAATTATTTTTCGGCTCGTGTATTTATATAGAATCAAATTCGCTCAACAATCCAATGCATCTCGCGTAGAGAAAACACTTATGCTTGAGACAACCAAGGCATAAGGTTCGAATCTATCTTTTCTGCTTTTTCAAACTATCGTCCGTCTCTTTTTTTTTCGGCTTAGTTTCTGTTGCACGGACACTGACACTCTTTGAAGATTCAGCTTTCTTTCAAACTCCTGAACGCCATTGATGGAAGTAATTGAGTAACAATGCTACAATTTCTTCGCGGGATTTTTTTGCGCTTTTTCTGAACAAGATTTTAAAAGTTTTGTTTTAGACAATGAATGAGCTCTGCTGTATATTTTAAGATCGATAAGACTCTTGAAAAACAACTTTTTGTTAATTTTTGTTTTTCATCCGTTTTGTCTACGCTCGAAGTCATCTCTTCGCTCGAAGTCATCTTTTGCAACTTCTTCAGCGTCATGCTGTTTAGATCCTATATTTGTTGTATCGCAAGTGGTGCAAAGCTCAGTTTCGCATCTGTGTTGATGATTGTTTCAGTTTATTTATCATAGATATTTGAAAGTTTTTTTTTCAATTTTCTTCGTTGTTCATAAATTAAGGCCAAGATTTTTTATTGCATCGCATTATATTCCGGGATAAAATGTGATTTTTTTCTTTTATTTGTTAATGTTTATTGATGGTTCTTTATTGTAAAGTTATTTATAATTAATTGCTCTGATAATTGGCTTCAGTTTGTTCCACAGATTCCTAAAGAATTTCAAAAAAAATTCGATCAGAATAATTTATCTGATATTTTGTTATCATTTTGTCCTGGCCCCTGAGCCAACATGTTTAGCTCTAAATTTTCATTACCACAATTTTTTAAGCTTGACAGGCGTCCATTTACGTATTGTCACTCTTCTAACCGCATTGTAAGTTTTGCTTCAATGCTAATTGAATGCTTCTAATTGTCTTTCCCGACATTTTTCCTCATCGGTTTTGATTGAAGACACACATTTTGTCGATTTCGTAGCTAATGTCTCATTTTACGTCGGCTTGCTATGTTGTTTTTTTTATGTCTTGAGGAGTGCGAAGCTCGTTTTCGCAACTGCGTTAACCTTAAAGGCTTTTATTTTGGCTTACATTAAGATGCTATTCCGTTAGATACGAAACTGGTCGGCTCTGCTTTTTGCGTCCAATTTTGCAGCATTTGGCAAATATTTAAAAGCCGAATCACTTTTTTCTATACTTTGCGAAGTTAAAAGAACTAAGGCCTTCATGCGTTTGTAGATACCGCAAAGTATTTCAAATTTTCCTTAACATTTTTGACCACTCAATATTTTTTCTCATTGTCCGAATGTTTCGTTCTTCAGGACATTTTTGGCAGGGGAATTGGATGTGAAAACCAGAGATGATTTAGTCTTAATCTGACTTTTCTTTTGACTTTTAAAACGTTCGAGCTTTTTTTGTTACTCCAGTAAAATTTAATGCTTTCTCACCAGAATTTTGGGGAAAAGAATTTTTTTTTCGTGATTTTCAATTTGCTTTGCAAGTATTGCCAAGCTCTTGAGTTTTTTGTTTCACTTGAGCAATAAATGGCTTTTTTGCAATTAAACGTAGATTTAATAAATCTATTTTGGATTTGTAGTTTTATATCTTAATGAATGAGGCGAAGTTTCAATTAGTATTTTAGTCGTGTTAGTTTTTTAAGTAAGTTGCCCTCGTTTTCATTTTTCAATTTGCTTTGCAAGTATTGCCAAGCTCTGAGTTTTTTGTTTCACTTGAGCAAT